AATTTCAGATTATCTTGAATTCTAATACAGTAAAACCTCTCTGTAAAGGACATATAATTGCAAAGCCAAAGTGTCCTTTAGAGAGAGGTGTCTTCTTATCGGAGAGTTGAAAAATAGTAAAAATAATGATTTTGTAAATTAAACTGTCCACTCGTGGAGGTTCTACTGTAATTGGTTCTCTCAATAATTATGTATTTAGAAAATATATTATCATTCTTTAGCATATATTAAAATAATATTGATGTAATAATTTTTGAAAATAGGTTAAAGAGAGATAGCGAAAATATTAAATTCCTTTACAGTTCTATTTTTCTAAATGTGGGTCCAGCTTCTTCACATATTGTAATGTGTAAATCTAGTCGTAAAGATTATGAGAAAAGTCAATAGTATAAAATCTACATTAATGTAGTCACCACGTCTAGACGACAATTATAAAAAATCGTATACATCTAGAGGACACATTGAAAAACTATTTATAAAAGATAAGAATAATTTAAAATTAAAGAGTGCTAATCGGTGTTATTTCCATTTAACATTATAATAAATGATCATTTTTCTATTTTTAAAATTGTCATTATAATATAAAGAGAAAAAACGAATATATATATATCATAATTTGCCTAATACCGAAGAGGTATAATTTATTTTCACCAAAATAAGATTGTGTTAAAATGTAAATACAAATTCATCAATCTATAAATCTGTGCCAAAAAAAAACGTATAAAGATTATATTAACACAAAGCAATAACGCGCCATCTATACATATAAAATGAGAGGATTTAAAAGCACGAATGTTTCTTTTATACATAATACAAACTTCTACTGCCCTTAATGCGATGAAAAAATATATTGGGAGGGCTTGGTTCATCAGTGGTGAACCTTCCCAGCGGTTTCGCCATAATTACTAATATAAAACTATTGCAGAAATTGTATTCAAATTTGAACAACTAACAGGTTTCTATAATATCTCTATATTTAAATATCATCGAATGCTATTATTGGGTTCAATATTGAATACTCATAATTCCTCTATATACTCTAGCACAGGATCTCCCTTCTATATGGATTAACGAATTTTAATCGTTATACATATTAACCTAACTCAATAATACTTCCTATCTATATAAACCTGAATGAAATGATATTCAAATATTTGTAAAGGAAGAGAAAACGGGAAACGTTTACAACCTTTATACTAATATAAAAATTATATATTATTATTTTTTATTTTTTTATAACATATTTATAGAATGTATATATATTATAAATAAAGATAAGATTTTCTGATTGATTCTGGAATATCTTGAGGATCATACTTTGTTAATTCAGTCGTGGTTAAATCTTGAAAGTATGATAATAAAAATAATTTTGATCAGTAATTTAATTGAACTAAAGCAATATATAAAAGAACATAATTTGATAAAAGTAATGCCTGGCTCAAGGCGAGTAGAATAAGGAAAACAAAAGATTATTTACATAATGTATAAAAGTTTTGAGCCGGCCATTGGGATAAAACAACAACGAATTTTTATAGGGGAAGAGTGACCTCTGGCGGTCGATTTAGCAGAGTATTTGAATCTATGAAACTATAATTTAAAATAAAATAATATTTTTATATAATATATATATATATATATATATGGTAATTTAAGCCAACAACCCTATATTGTATAATTACTTATAACAAGATTGTCATGTTGTATATAGAAACACATCTATAAATAATTATATGCATGATTAATCTGTGTCATTGCATCACCATATGTAATGTACTTTGTACAAACTAAAGACAAATAAATAAAACTATGTAATAGATTAAGAGCTGAGTTAAAGCAAGATTGATAAGTTCAAAAACGTCTAAAATCGAGAGAGAAATCCAACAACCCTGAAAAGGAATTCAGCAGTCGTTGCCATCAAGGTCAAAGGGTGTAGACGTCCAAAGTTCACATTCTCAGACATCTCCAAACCCCCTCCTCGGGGATGGTATATAAACACCTCGGTTTTAGCCAACCATAGTTAGTTAGTCCGTAGTTAGTCAGCAGTCACCCCTTTCACCGTCAGCGTGAGCCCTTGTCAGTCTTAGCCAGGACTACCTCATCGTCATGTAAACAGTAAGAACCCTTCTAACTCCATCTTGCTTAGCTCAACTCCTATCTGTTCATGGAACTTTCCTACTACAGCTGTGTCTCTTCGTTTTGTGTGTGTGGACTTTCCCAAGCTTTCCGCTCTGCCTCGACCACGACTGCCTGTACTCTGTGAAAACTGTTAAAGGTCTTCCAAAGTGCAGAGAGGTACTGGAAAACTCTCCACGCCCTGACTGTCCCTCGCGGCTACTACAGGTTTGACCACCGGTTACCACAGCTTATAGCGAGAGTCGACAGGATCTCATCACAGATAAGTCGACAGGATCTCATCTCAGATAAGTCGACAGCAACTCTTTCATCACATTCAAAGTCGACAGGATTCTACAAGGCTTACCAGACCACTCCATATCACAGCAAAGTCGACAGGATTCTACAAGGCTTACCAGACCTCACTCTTCATCACATATATATATATATATAGAAGCATAGGGCACCTCTCCCGTCAAAATCTGACGCCATCTATTGACCGACTAGCGGCCTCAGGTCGGTGTCAAAGCCACAACACCAGCTTTGGGAAATTGAGAAGCGTCCACCTAGAGACCATGGTTTCGGACTAATGGCCCTCATCCTCATAGGGCGGACTTTATTCCATGAGATCCACACGGGATCTAATGGAATTTTCACAATCTACCAAAGGCTTTGTCACCAACCCGAGGCCGCTAGTTTGCGGCGACGGTCAATAGATGGCGTCAGGTTTTGACGTTTATTTTGACGGGAAAGGCGCCCTATGCTTTTATGGATCAATTTCCTCCCGGCAAGTTTTCCATCAACATATATATATATTATAAAATAATTAGATTAGATTTCTGTTTGTATTCTGATTGTTATTTATATAGAATTATTAGATGTTGCTTGATTTTGGTATGCAGTCGTGGAAGAGATTATAATAAAATTAGTTATCAAACATAGCTTTAATTGAGCTTATGGGATATATAAAACATAATTTGAGAAAGGTAATGCCTGGCTTAAGGCGAGTAGAATAAGGAAAACAAAAGATTATTTACATAATGTACAAATGTTTTGAGCCGGCCAACGGGGAACAACAACAATGAGTATTTATAGAGAAAGCGTGACCTCTGGCGGTCGATTTAACAGAGTATTTGAATCGATGAAATATAATTTTAAATAAAATAATACCCCAATATAACATAATATTAAATAAAATATCTCAATATAACATATATATTTGATATAAACGGTAATTTCATCAGTTCTTTTTTTACTTTAGTTTCACATAGTTAGATTAACTCAACTACTCTCGTGATTTAGCTTAAATTACAAAAGCAAACACGATAGAGAGGCGAATTTTCCCCTCAAAATATTGGTAAAATAAATCTTCCTTCGAATCAAATATACTGTTACGTCGTAACCAGACACTGTTCGTGATCTTTGTCTAATCAGGATGCCACAAAGATACACACGTGAGTTCGAAGGGATGTAGCAAAATTTATCGTTTTATTATATGTGGTACTAAAGAGAAGGAATACAATAAGTGGGACTTGTCTTCAACCTCCCCATCCGAAGAATCCTTGGCGCCGTGGATGTCACTCTTGTAAAACCTTCCGCTCCACACTGTACATGTTCATCCTGGAATACACTCTTTCTGAAAATTAAGAGTTCACCTCAAATATTCACTTGTAACAAAATGTTTCAACTTATTGACTCCAACCAAAATAAGACGAGAGAAAAAACATTAAAGTATTTGCAATATAAACATACATATAAATTTAACTTAAACGTTAATGCTCCTTCGCATTACTAACAAAACCTAACCTTTCTGTTATTACAAGTGACCAATTTATGGTCAAAATTCAATAAATCTATATTAATAAAATGCAAATTTCATAAGTGTTGTTCACTAAAAACTTTCGTTACATTGCATTAATTTCGACCAAATTTTCAACATTTATGTAAAACGAGATGGAGCAGGTTTTGCTTAACATCAAAATATTTTTCCTAACTTTAACATGCGTAACTTCGCTGTTATCGATTAAATACAAAAAAATCAACAGAGTTAATTTTATTTATATATAAATACAAAAAATATCAGCAATTCATTCAACTCAATCTAAAAAAATATTCAAAACAAGCAATTTTAAGATAACACCATATGTAAAACAGTCGGCCAAGAAAACAACAACGATATTACATCTTTCTCACATATTCACACACAACTTGATTAATAATTAAAACTAATCTTTAACATTGTTTATTATACTTCATAATATATAATATTTGTTAGGCAAAACTTTCACTCGGATAAAACCCGGGCGAAGCCGGGTACACATCCGCTAGTATGTAAATAATTAAAAGAATATTCTTACAAATTGTAAACTCTAGAAATTTGAATGAGCGGAAAAAAATGAAATTATTATAAAGAATCTACATGTTCCAGTAGATAATCCCCTAGGAGAATAGTAAGTAGGTATTGATGACTTTTAATTGGTTAAGTGTTTATTATTAGCTCAAAGTGTAAATCGGTAATTTTTATAATTCTTAGATTTGAGAAATCTTGTGATAGTTACAGTGTATCCCCCCAATTGCTATAACTAATCAGCTTTTATGTTAACAATCTTAACATCAAAAGCATGATAACTTATTTCAATAATATTTATTTTGTTGTGTTGGCTTTCAGGAGTCTGTGTTGTTGCCTGAGGGCTATTATTTGTTTAAGTAAATTCCCAAGTCTTTAAGTCTAAATAAGTTCTTGATTATACATTTTTATTCTTTTAGCATTTTCGTGTATTTCAGCGAGTAGAAGTGACAATTGACAATTAAAACAACTTTTATTGACATCTGGTCAATATTTACACTCAAAGAGAGTTATAATAGTAAAAAAATCTACTTATATATTTGCCTTATTCTGTCTGTTTGAATGTGGTAGAATGCTCGCCTGCCACGCGGGCGGCCCGGGTTCGATTCCCGGCCGATGCATTTTTTTTTTTTTTTTTTAGAATTTTTAAAACTCATTTATATATTATACAAGAATGACATCCACGGCGCCAATTTATAATTGTAACGAATAGTATTTGAATAATCGGGGAAAACCCGGGCGTTGCCCGGGTCATTCGTATATAATAATTGTATAAACGAATGCAAGACAAAATCACCGCGAATGTTTCTTTTTTTTAAGGCAATTTATTTTTAAGGCAATTATCGTTATTTATCGTTAATTTTTGTTTCGATTTTATTGAAAAAAAAAAGATATGGTGCCTTTAAAAAATGATCTTTATTACTATGCAGTTTTCTATTTAGTCAATATACCTAAGTTCATGTTGCAAATGTAATTATCTCTATCGATTTAGTAGGTGAAATGCAAAAAAAAAAAATCGACATGATGAAATCTTTATGAAAATTCACATTTTTATTTTTATATTTTCAAGACACACACAGTTTGGGGCGGGACGTTTCACAAGAGAGACATCCACGGCGCCAATTTATAATTGTAACGAATAGTATTTTAATTAAAACATTTTAAAAACACACAGTTTGGAACGGGACGTTTCACAAGAGTGACATCTATGGCGCCAATTTATAATTGTAACGAATAGTATTTGAATTAAAACGTTTTTAAAATATATGCGCACTCGGGTAAAACCCAGGCGTTGCCCGGGCCATTCGTCTAGTATAATGATAAATAGGAAAATTTAATTATGTACAAAAGGTTATATAAGTTATATATCAGAGAGTAAAAGTGTTTTAACTTTCTTGGATTGCCTTCAGCATTCGAATTTCTTGATTTTATCGATTATTATTTTTCGATTATAATAACCACATTCCATTTTGAATAGCGTTAATTGATATTCGAATTCTTATGTAATGTGGATTAAAGATGACAATAAAAGAAAGAGTGTTAGCAAATTTGTTGCCGTTTGCTGTTGTGACTTTCTCTCCAACACCACAATAGCTACTGTTTTGATAAGTCTCTCGTGTTTTCAGGGGGTCTTTGGGCTGACTAAGGGTAGAAATGCAGAGGTGAAGCAACAGGGTCTGGGTAGGTGATCCACGGTCGAGAAAGCGGCGTCGTCGCGAAGAGCCACAGGGGAAACGCGTGACAATAGTTATTTATCTGGATTTTTGTTTTCCTTGCCTTCATTTCTATTAAAATCTAATATTTTCTCACATTTTCATCTATGCATACTTTCTTATTCATTTCTTTAATCCTTTTATAGTAACTGAAACAGACTTAGCGTTATTATCTGAAAATATATATAGTTTTCACATGCAGCTACTCAAATTCTCAATTCCTTATTCTAATAAATATATTCACGTCTCTATTATTTTATCCCATTCGTCTATTTTGTCGGAAAACGCAGCCCTCAGCTTACTCAGGTCTTTTTTTTTTCATACAGGCCTCAATCGTTGTTCAACTGATAAGGCTAGGTCAATGATTTTGCCTTAATACCCGAGATTAGTAGAAGGTAAATACTAGAAATATCTAATGTATATATCAAATCCGATCTTCTAGAGCGGCTATGTAGGGAAATATAATATTGTCGCGGAGATAAATAAAGCAAGGGCAAATTTGGGGATAATTAATTTATTATAAAGGGTATTTATAGGGAGAGAGAGAGAGTGTACAACTTACCCCAAGTTAAAGATAATCCTAATGAACAGCGACAGCCACCGTCCCGTTTTCCTTATTTACAGATCAGCTTCCGAAAACCCCTCACACCTGTGGTCCAGGGATAATTGACAGGTGTCCCATCTGGATGGAGCTCCTTGACAATATTGTTTGTCTATATGATGAGTCAATTTCATTATTTTCTTTTTTAAAATCAATAAAAAATCTAGATAATTATCCACTAAGTAAAATACTACGATTCTATACTAAATTCTTAGCTAAATAAATAGAGCCAATTTAATTTAATAAAATTATATTTTATTTACTTTATTCATATATACTTTTTTTACTTGTTGAAAGAAGAGTAGCCAATGATTCTCTAAAGTTTAAAATCTTAAAAGAGGAAAATTTAAAGTTTATAAAAAGTTAATATAAAGCAATAACGCGCCATCTATATACATCAAATAAAACATTAAGACGAAAATGTTTCTTTCGCACCTATATCAAACTTCTACTGTCTCTTACTATGATGAAAAAATATATTAGGAGAGTTTGGCTCATTAGTGATAAACCCTCTCAGCAGTTTCGCCAATTCAATATACAAGACTGCTTTTTCAGAGTTCTAATACTGTATCGGGTCATTCTGCTTATATATTCTACACTTCAGTGTATAAAACTTTATATTAATTTATGCCTAACTGGTTTTTCCTTATTGTTTGCGGAAGAGCATTGTTTGATGCAAATTTTATATATAATTATACTGTTCTAAGAACTTATGTCCATAGTTTTCTTGAAAATAATTTCTGAGTGTCAACCCTCCAGTGTAGCATATATAATCAGAATGATTCAATACAGTATTAAGAACTAAAGAAGTGGTCTGGTTGATTACATTGGTGAAACCGCTGGCAGGGTTCACCATTGATAAGCCAAGCCCTCCCAATATGTTTTCATTTTAGTAAGGACAGTAGAGGTTTGTCTTATTTGTGAAAGAAACATTCGCGTTTTATTGATTCATTTGTTGTAAAGTTAGATATGTCCAATATATAGGGGTCAGAATTGATATTCAAATAGATTTCTGAATCTAAATATCAAAAGTGTTCTAGTAAATTATTCATTGAGATTTTTCTCTCACATCTGGAAGAATTACAGGTGGGTATTTAAAATTATATAAGTAGCCTCTCTAAGCTGCTGCACAGAGAATTTTACCTCAAGTAGGAGATGTTTTTTCTGGCAGGTTTTGCTTTTCTCTTCGTGGTTTCAGGTAAGAATAAATTATATTCTTGATTGATTCTTAGTGATAGATTAATGTATATCAATTTAAGCTGAAATTATTAATATTGGTATCCATTATATCTATGCCTTTAAATGTATGTTAAATTCGATGATTCATTTGATGCAGAAGTCTGAGACAGCTATTATTCGATTTCGACCCTGATCCATCTAGCACCTTATATATCATAATTTGGTAATTGAACTAATTCAATAGATGTTATGGACAAGCATGATATTCATTTACCAAAAGGCTAAACATGTAGACTTTAGAATATAATAATAGCCTTGAGAGAAACAATTCATTAACAATAATTTTGTTACTGTGTTAGCAATAGGAAAAGTATATTATACTCATAGCAGAAAGTTTAAGAGTTACTCTCTAGAATGTATCGAGATTCAGACAATTACTCTGAGAGATATTTGATACGCAGTGACCTTTATTACCATAGTGTATGTATATATCAAGTGTGAACAAAATTGACACTCTCTCTCAAAATTACAGGCGACCGGTGATATTAAAGACTTTCCACTTCCTTAAGAGTTTTGTCCATATGGATGGCTTTTCTTGATTTATCAAGAAATTGGTTTGGCCAAATATCAGAAAACCGGTTAAATCAATGAATAGTTGATTTCTGATCCACCAGATGGCGCTTTTCTTTCTGAAAAGTACATGTGCTCATGGTCAGGATATGTCTTTTTTATTTTTAATATACATAATGTATTGATTTAGTTGATATTTGATGGGAGATATGACTATATACAAATATATATATAGAGTCTCTATAACAAAAGAATCGCGCATGGCTCACCAAGAAATATTTGTTAGATTGAGACAAAATTTGGAATATGTGAAAACATAAAAATAAAAACGATTAAAATATCAGAACAATTGTTTTATTACATAGTTTCTCTATCATAAATTGAGAAAGTCGATATGTCGTTGGATCCCAACTGGCCAGGATTGCAGGCTTCGACTCGGTGTATCATGGACTGATAAAGATTACGGTTGGTGTGCTTCGGGATTTTTTGCCAAATTGTATCCAACTATAGAGCTAAATATCCTGAAATCTAGGATGGTCTAAATCTATATTCCATCGCGTTCCAGATATTCTCTATGAGCGAGGGATCAGGCGATCTTGCTTGTCACTGAAGAGTTTGGAAAGATTGAAGAAAACCATAGTAACACTTGCTATGTGTGACCCGGCATTATCTTGTTGTAAAGTAAGCCCAGTGTGAAATTAGAGGAAAGACTTCAACACAGGCCATAGAATGTCATATACGTATCATTGTGATGTCAGGGTGCCAGGAATGACTACCAATGAGGTCCTGCTAAAAATTATGAAATGACACTTTAGACCATAACGCCCTGTCGTGGACCTTGGTAGTGTTCAAAAGTAGTCTAAAATCCAAACGCTGCCCAACACGTCTCCAGACACGTTTGCGACGTTCGTAAGGACACAATAAGAAACTGGACTCGTAACTAAAGACTATTCTGAATAAATACTATATATAAGTTAGATAAGACTATATAAAAGTTAAGAGAACAGGTAATACGACTTAGAAACGAAGATATCGTTCGCATATTATTAATGAAACCATACTTCATATCATCAGGACAGGAGGAAAAAGACCTAAACAACAATGAGCCACTGGCCAAGTAATTATATAAAGTTATCTGAATAAAAATTTCTCTAAAAAGAGAGAAGCAATGTAACATTAAATGATCTGAATTATTAATATTGGAAAGATTATTATTATATTGTGTATTCTCCCTTTTCAAACAAAGGCTCACGTGCACAGGGAGAAAGGGAAGAAACATTACTGTATTATTTTGTTGTTGTATGGCGAATCCATACAGGGAAATGGGTCCTAATAAAAGCCTTTTTGTTATTGTTACATTTTTTATTCTGAAGGATAAGTTAAACCTTTTATGATGAAGCAAAACTGTTGAAAAAGAGGAAGATAGGAGAAGGAACTGATCACCAGAGGATTTTATTGAAAGGTAACCAGCTTCATACTAAAACGTAAGATAGCATACAATTACTAAGAGAGACAGTGAGAATATGGTTTTACGGATTACTAAAAAAGTATATGAATT